GGAAGTTCTCCGGTGTTCTTTGCAACCAGCATTCCACAATGACTCACGTCGTTACTTAGTGACATTCTACGCTAAATCGATTCGCGAAACAGCACGAACGCTATAGAACAGGTTTCCATATACCGGGGACTCTCGATAATTAAACGGCTGCGTTTAATTTCCACCTACTCGAGCTTTAAGTAAACCGTACATATATATTTTAGCAATGTTTTAAAATGAAATACCAATATATAATGGATTCAAATAAGATTTGTAATTGTGGGTGAATATTATTTTAATTATACTATATATTTATATTTTACCTATCCATTTTAATTTCATTTATTTTAATTATTAACTGTATTCTTTCAACGTATCTGACGAAACGTATATTTAATTAACATAAAATGCCCGAACTTAGGATCAAAGTTTGCACAAACGTAATTCTGCAAACGACGAACGCAAATTCGTCTTTCAAATTGAAAATATATATTTGATGTGTGGTCGCGGCGAGAATACATATATTTGTGAGTCAACTCCGAAAAGGGGCTTGATCGATCAACGTTAGACTCCGTTTTCGGGGTGATCGATATAACCGTTAGCAATACTAAGGCGCGCATACCACGACGGATGCGCATACATTGTGCACCCGCGACGTTCTTTTCTCGCTACCTCGAAAGGCATTATCGACAAACAGCTTGCATCGCGATGACGTCGATCGCACCTCGAACACGTGTGCACGTGCATAGCGACGAGGAGTGCAATGTGCATAAAGATATCGAACGTTTGTCGTTACGTTCTGGGCATGATCGATGCGCTTCTCGAATTCGAATATTCACAGTGAGACACTCGATATTACGTAAAGCGCTTTTTGCGGGGGAAGGGGGATTGCAGAGTGTCGATAGGGAGTATCTTCGACGAGTACTTTCGACAAGTCATAGGAGTTCGCGAAAGTTTAATAACGATGCAACATGTATGCAGATTTGTTCACGTGATCTATTCGCGAATTTAGGAACGTCTAATTTTGGCTTAGGATCTTACTGCCTTGGCCGTAAGTATAAAGCACCTCCACAAATTGACGTAAATGTTCTAACGAAAAATAAGTTAAAAAAATATTATAGTTTGAAAAATAATGTTTATTTTTATAACCATTTTAATATTTTGTTAGTTAATCTTTTGGCTTTTATTACCACCTTTTCCAAGAAATTCAATAAGTCGAGAGTGCTTTACACTGACTGAGGCTGTATAAAGGTAATTCTTAACTCGTTAATCGATTAAATATCGAATTTCTGCGTAATCTCTACTTCTCGTAATTTTTGATAGGGTTGCGACATAAATCTTTATATATTTGGAATACAGTGATCAATTCTGCATAACTAGTCTTTGTCGAGCATCGTCGGCATAAAATTTGATATAACGAACGGAGGCAGAGATGCGAGTTTGCTCGACAAATTATACGAGATGCTTCCAAGCGTATTTGCTTTCTACTTCTTCGCTCAGATGATTAAGGCTCGATCATCATCGTCTTCAGTTGAAGGATCTATAGATATAGAAGGATCGAAATGTAGCATACTCAAGAATATTGAGGATCGCATGTAACGGAACGAAACGTACTTTTGAGAATTGTTTTTCAATTCCCGACGCTATCAAATTATTTACATTGTTTATTTTAAACTAGCTGATTGACAAAATATTATATCTGTATTTTTATATCTAGAAAGGGATATGTGACTGTATGTACACATGTCGAGAGTGTTATCCTTTTTTTCTCTGCCAAATATCTGTCAAATATCATCTCATGGGGAAACTGTGATTACTTAAAAAAAAGTTACATATTAATCTTCTACTCCTTTAGAACGATCAGCCTCATCATACGATATACAAGTCATCAAAATCTCCCTTCAAATTACACAACCTATCGTAGAAAAGGGTAATGATACCTAATTCCGAGGCTAAAATAATTCCGGTCGTTCCGGCGCCCGCTGGAAGAGTTCAATGACGTCGTCGAGAACTCGAGTACACACATTCGTGTATACGCCGTGGTTGAAGCGTAACGCGCGCGCGGAGAGGACGGCGACGTTCTACCGTTGGGGATGTGGGGGCCTGACACCGGCGCAATTGACGAAAGTTGCGGTCGCGTATGTTCGCGCGGTCGTAAGTAATGGTACCCGACTAATTGCCAAGGTAGCGGTGCCTCTTCCCTTCATCAGGCGACAAGTGCCCGGAGGTTCAATGACGTCGCTCGCTCCGGGGCGGGGAGCGAGCTCGAGAGCACCCGGTATGCATGCACATCGCGGCGAATGCGGGGAAGCGTGTATGTGTGTATGTGTGTGTATGTATGTGTGTTACGAGCCTCGAAAGCCCGACGCGTTTCATCGATATCGTTCGCATAGGCTTACCTAGGACGGGCATCGAATCGATCTTACGCCGTCAGCGGTATCGCCAAGTTAACCCGGACTGCGAGCCACGAAGAGACGCGGGCACACGCGAGCGGAATATCAATCGCGGGGATCAAATGCTTTTAAGGAACACCGTCGGCCGCGACTTCTTCTTCTTCGATCGCCGCCGCGTACATCCAACAGATCGTCGATCTGTTGCATCTCGCGGCGCGTCAGTGAAAATCGATGGCACAGACGTGCATAGTATTCTCTTAGCATTTTTTTTTATCCTAAACGCACATACGATCGATATGAATGTCTTATCACTTTTAGTCGCAAGACACGAAGGGATATAGTCATACTTTTTATTAAAGAAAAAATTAGATATTATTAAATTGTACAAAATTAATAACAAAAGTATAAAAAATTAAATACAGAATTTCGAAGGATTTTGAAAAAATCGATGAATTGTCTTTTTACTTTTATATCAATATATTACGCTATGTAATGTCTACATCTAGCTTTTTTGTATATTTTTAGTGTCTTACAAATAATTTGAAGAATATATACATTGTAATTATTTCGGCTAAGAATAAGGAAAGAACATCCATGTCATTTTCATGAATTTCATGGTACGAAAATTTTATGCCGAAAAAAAGAACGGGGGAGGGAGGCTGAATTGCTTAGTATGACGCAATTGTATTGCAAAATTCGTCGTGAAATTATGCGAACTTCTCGTGAACGCGATCGAATCAAAGTCAGGTACGAACAGTTCGTGAATTTACGGCAACAGGCGCGAGGAAGGGTTCGGGCACACGACCTAATATAAAATATGCAATATCCTCCTTCCGGACAGCCGTGCGCGCCGGCGAAGTCGGTGGAGCAATGTATATACCGGCGGACGCCTCTTTCTGCGATCCGGTATAAGTAAATTGCACCTGTGCGAAAGAAAGATCAGAGACGTTCGGCACACGTTCGTATCTCGTCACGTGACCGCCGCGCCGCGCCGGGGGCAAGCGCGTCCTCGTACTTGTTTCTCATTATTGTGCGCGGCGTAGAGTATAATTTCGCTTTGGGTCAACTGACCGTTGGAAACGCGGGTAAACCGACCCAAGGGAATAAATGCTCTCCTCCACACGGCGGTATATATCTCTCGTTTTATCGTTAATCTTTCGAAATGGGATGCATCTTCCCTTTTACTCTTAATTGACGAGGGCAGGTACAACAGCGAGCAATCTTAACAATTTTCTTTCTCTACATTATCTTGATAATCAACTTTTAAATACTCGGCTACAAATTGTATATCCATTTACGCATATACATACCTATACGTTTGGCTTTCATGAATGTCCCATTTTTCTAAACATTAATTAAAATTAATTTATATTTAGATCTTTCTTATGGAAATGGTCAAATATGAGTCGATAAATATTTTATGAGACATTTTCGGTGAACGATATCGCGATCGCGAAGGAGAATTCTTTCATCGAACGCCCGCGAAACAGCGTCAGTTTTAATGAAATCAACGGGGGTGTCGGAACAGAAGGAAAGAAATAACCAGCTAATTAGGTGATGTTTGGTCTTCGAGAGCCGAGACAAACTTAAGCGTGCGCTAGGGCGGATGTCTCGACAACGAAGGCGATGGAGTGGCGGAGTTTCGCGATGAACTCAAGAGAGAATCGGCAAGGTGGAACGGGGGAAGGAGGTGAAGGTGGCCGGCAAGCGATGGAGGGTGGGTTAAGAGGGGCGATGGCGCAAGGATGGAGACCGCCGAGACGGAAGGAGGTGAGAGTGCGAGAGCAGGAGGTGGGCCGAGAGAGAGAGAGAGAGAGAGAAAGAGAGGAGGACAGGGCGAGTGGAAAGGACGAGGTGTCCGAGGGGGCGGATGAAAGGACGCTTACCAGCTACTACCTATTGATCGCCAATTCTTTTTCTCTTGTTGCATATTAGGCGCACTCTTCCTTCTTTCTCCTTCTCTGTCTATCTCTTTCTCTCGTTCCCGCACGCTTTCTCTCTCTCCCTCTTTTTCCCTTCGCCTGGCTCGCTATCCCCCGTCGCGTCTCGCAGCCAACCTGCCCCCTCGCGGACGTAGAACGCGCGAATCCGCCCCTATAGCCACCCTTCCGCGTCCTCCCCTTCCTCATCCCCCTTCTCCTCCTCCTCCTCCTCCTGCACCTCCTCCACGTCCTCTGTGCTCGTGTCGCCTCACCACGCGAGAGAGTGCAAGCCACCCCTACCACCCACCTACTACCTACACCGCCGACTCTGACGCTCTTCTTACCGGCAATGTTTCATTTCGAGCAGCAGCAGTACCCTTCCTGTTTCGGGATGGGGCCGGCGGCCGCCCACTCCGCTTTTTGCACGCAGGTGCGACGGAATCGCGGTGTGGGAGGACCTCGCCGCGGCGACGCGACGTAGTCGTAGATAGGATAGACACGTCGAAGGTATCGATGCGCAACTAAATAGGACGTAAGAAGTCCAATTTCTTGAATTCTTTTGAGAGTGCGATCATATGACTCCCTTCTCCGAGGGTATCATCTTAGGAAGGGTCGAGGCGAAAAGGGGATTATTTTCTTTAAGACGCGAGTTGCCTCGTGTATCCGCAAATGTTCTGACCGAGCACCGGTCTTGTTTCTGTTTCAGATAGCAACCGCCGATCTGCGAGCGTCTTCGTGTGCGGGGACGACGAGGAAGAGGACGACGCGCGGATCCGATCGCCGTAGGAGAATTCGGCGGAAGAAAAGGGAGAGGACCGAGCCGTGCCGAGAGGTGCGGGCACACAGCGGGCCGGAAGAAGGAGGGAGGGAGGGAGGGCGGTAGGGTGGCAGGAGGGATAGAGAGATAAAAAGAAAGGGAGAGAAGGAGAGGGTGAGTCAGGACGCGCCGCCGGCGACAGACTGCACTCTCGTGGCGCTCAGGGCGCAAGCGTGCACGTGTGTTGTGCGTTTCTGTGCCCTAACCCTGTCCCGCTACCTGGGAGGAGTAGCGTGGTCGTCATCCCTCCGCGGCTACATCCCCACCGTGCCGCCGTTGCCGCCGTTGCCGCCACCGCCACCGCCACCGCCAACGACACCGACGCCGACGCCGCCGTCGGCTTGCCATCCCTCCGACGCGCGTGGAGGAGCGCCGCGTCGCGCCACGGCCGACGAAACGACGGCGACGACGACGACGACAACGACGACGACGAGGACACGGACGACGACGACGACGACAGGGCCCCCACTGCCGTTACCACTACAACCGCTGCTACCATCACACCGGCGGTCCACGACGACGATAACTTTCCTCGCTTCTGCTAACGTGCTACATCACGCGTGACGTCGTACCCGGCAGCGCGCACGTGTAGTACACGCGCGCTTCCCTTTTTCCTCACGCACGTCTCACGCTCACGGCGCGCGCCTGAAAGACCGAGAAACGTTGGCGGAAGAGGAGCGGATAGAAGGAGAGAGGGGTTCAAGCGAGGGAGGGAAACGACAAGAGGTGGAAGGAGGAAATCGGAAAGAGACACGGAAGGGAAACTAGAGTCGTGGGGGTGGAAGGGGTAGGAGGGTGAGCAAGAAAGAAGAAGAGGAGGAGGTACGGGAGGACGACGACGCGAGGGCGACAACGGCGACGACGACGACGAGGAGGACGGAGGAGCGCCGGCGGTGGAGGGGGTGGACATCCACGCGGGAACACGAGGCAGGCGCACCCGGCCGGCACGCGCACACACATCCTAAGATGTGATTTCAAAAATGGCGGATTGCCCCTATGCCCGCTGCATACAGGAACGCAGACATATCCGACGGGAGCTGCTGCGATGGACAAAGAATATGGTCTTCGTAGTCGGTGAGTAAAGAGCCGGAGTCGTTCCTACCGGCGACAAATCGCGTTTGTACTTACGTAAGTCTGATATATATACATTCTATATCGGCGTCTGTGCGTGTGCGTGCGATGCGTGAGAAAGATATCCTCGCACAGAGATACACGCACCAGGATGCACGGCGACCGACTGCTCGCGCGCGCGTTGATCTCGCGTACAAGAGAGGCGTGTCAACAGCATGCTTGCTGCGTGGGTGCGCGCATACATGTATGTGCGCCATGGCAAGAGTATTCCTTATGTATATATATTTGCCGAAGCGTGTACGTGTGCCCGTGTGCACGTACGTACATACGTTCGCCTACGTTCCGCGTGGCGTGTTTCTGTATGTGTCCGGGTATATAGTGTAGAAATGGTTTCTCTATCAGTGTGCGAACGTGAGGAACGAGCGAGAGGGACCAAGAGAGGAAGAGAGATGCGGCGAGAAAGAGAGAATAGGGAGGGAAAGAGAGAGAGAGAGAAAGTGTATGTGTGCGAGAGAGAGAGAGAGAGAGAGAGAGAGAGAGAGAGAGAGGGATAGAGAAAACACGCTGGTGGTTGAGACCTGTTGCGAACCGAAACGCCGAATCCTGGCTGACTATGTGCCAGGCGTGACTCCTACTCGCGCCTGCACGTTCAACAGGGTGGTACCACGCTGCCGGAAAATCCGATAATATTCTGTGAGTAGTTTTCCGTGCGGTTTCAAGTTTTCGTGCGAGTGCCTGGTGAGAAACCGTCTCCCGCTTGATGATCTATTTACAGAAGAGATAATTGCGGTTTCTTTCACTGAAAATCTCCAATGTGCAATGACGCTCGTGCAATTAATTAACTCTCATTTCAAAATAAAAATTTTTTTTCACATTTCATAAGTCGGGTCATCACCAACATAGGTTTTACATTATTAAGTTGTAACTATATATAGTACGTAATACAATTTAATATTCAGGTAGCTAGTATAGCTTTCTATCGTTCTTCATGGATAAATTTTTGCGAATATGTAATCATTCCTTTTTCTGAGAATCGATAATCGGTCTATATAAAGATTTTAAACCACACTTTCCGACGGCAATCAATATGACTGTCTGATTCATTAATATCAACGACAAACTTAGCAATAGCGTAGCAAGAGACCAGATGATAATGTTTAGTGTCAAAGACCGTGCAATTAATGTTTCTATAAGAGAAAAACACATATAAATAGCATTCGAGAGAGTTAGATGATCGGTTCATTTCGAAATTCGAAATTGGTAGAGAGGAGATTGGCGCCGGCGTCCCCGTTATCGGTACGAGTAGCTGCGAGAAGAATTAGGCGCCGCGCGTGCAATTTCCCGTACAGGGAAGGGTGGCGAAATCAGGCTCGCGAGACAGGCTCTACGACCTCCTCCTCAGCCCACCCTTCCACGTCGGCGACGTTTCACCCCCTCGTTCGGCGTCGCCGAGGGGGTAGCAGGCGGGCATCGTCAGACGCGCAGAGAATACTGCACAAGCTGCGTGCCTTGACCACAGACAACCGAGCGATCCCGGCCGCCGCCCGAAACCTTCTTTTCTTCTTCTTACGACCATCCGTCCTCCTTTCCCACCTGCCCCCCTTTTCCACCCTCTTCCCTCCGTCGCCGTCACCGTCCCTCCCCTCCACCTACCCTCTTCCACCCCGACTTCCCCTTCTTCGCCTTTCGGTTAGTCCGTCAAGGGGCGAGCTCCGGTACTCGCGGAAGGCACGTTTCCGCACGCGTCGGTGTTGCGTGCACTCGCCGTTACGCTTCTTCCTCCACTTTTGTGACCTCTCCCGCCTCGCGCCCTCCTTCGTCTCCCTGCCGCCCTCTCCCCCTCTGTCCGCTGTGCGCCCTCCGTTCTCTCCCTTCCTCCTTCTCCGCCGCCGCCGTCGTCGTCGTCGTCGTCGTCGTCCGCCGCCACCTCTCGTTCGCGTCGCTCCTCATTTCGGAACGCAGCTGCCGCTGGTGGTCGAGAAATTTTCGCGAATCCTTCCTCGAGACACCCTCCCTTCCGCTCTCGCCATCCTCCCCCCCCTTTGACCCGCCATCTACCCCTACCTTCTTTCTCTCTCGTATCTCATCGTCTTCCGCAGCGAAGAGGTCCTAAAAAGGGAGGCCGACAGTGGAAGTTCGACGGAAAGCGCAGGAGGCGAGCGGGCGGGTGAGGGAGCAGGGGCGACACGAGTTGCATGTGTGCGCGCCGCGTTCCTCTGGCCTCTCCTCTCGAGACTTCCACTGGATCTTGGAGGGATCGACCAGTGCGCGTTCGGAAAAGGGTGACGGAGGGTGGAAACGGCTTTCAAAATCTCGGTGGTGTTCCGAGTGTTACGCGCGAGTGCACGCATCGTCGTATCAACGGCGACCGCTGTGACAGCGGAAGGTGAGACGAAAGTGCTCGGCGGAGGAAGATGACGAGTGAACGATCGTTGAAGTAGACAAGCGGCGCCGATAGGCACGGCAAAAGGTGTCGGTTCAGTGAGTGAGTTCTATAGGCGGTGGCTTCACAGAGAGAGAGAGAGAGGGGGGGGGGGTTGTCGTCCTTTTACGCAGACAGCTTCCGAAGTTAGCGGAAACTGTTGCTCCGCTCGAAGAGAAGGTAGAACTCCTCGTCGCCCTTCGGAGGAGTTAGTTACACCTGTTACGCGCGCGTCGCTCACCGCGGCCGCGGTGATCGGTGATTCGGTGCCGCTGGAGTTTTCGATAGCGCGAGTGCTGCGAGAGCGAAGCGCGGCGAGAGAGAGAAAGAGAGAGAGAGACGCGCGCGGTAATCGTCACGCACCGCCGTAATCCCCGTCGTCGGCTCGCACGCACGTAATCGCACGATACCCATCGCCGCGCGGCTGCCGGCGAGAGGACATGGAATTGGACGTAATGAAGCCTCGTCCCCCGCATCGTCCCGCGTTTCGTGGCACCGAGGAGCCGAGGGCCGACGGGGCGTCGCGATCTCGCGAGAGCACCGCGCGCGGCCGCGAGTGTCGGCAGTAACGATGTCTGGATTGCGATATTGCGCCGTCACGACGTGGACGTCATACGACTGCACAACAGAGACGGATTCGGCGGACGTGAAAACGCGGAAGTGGATCGACGTAGTGTAGGTAAAGGGATCCCCGTTGTGGAACGCAGTTGCGAGGCAACGGCGTGACGCGCGTGCACGTGCGCGATTAGACGCGCCCGGAGGCCGCTGCTTAGAGGAACGATCGTCGCACTTCTAGTACGATCTTGAATCTCTTCTGGTGGACAGGAGTCGAAATTAATCACTCTTTCTGCTTAGAGAGAATGTCATAGCTCCGTTTTGTTCGATTAGATTTTATTAAATTACCCTAACGTCTTTACGAGACTGAAGAAAGAGTAAATAGCGAGAAATAATTGACAGAGAATGCGACTAGAAAGAGAATTTCGTGTATATCAGTGATTATTGCAAAGTGAGAAGCTATCAGAGTACGTGCAGGAAGTAAACGAGTATAAAGAATTCTATCGAGTAACGCCAGGATCAAACGTTTTACTTTCGAGTCGTCAAAATGATCGTGTTAATTTCTTTGATATTAAGAAAAGTGAGAAGCCCATCTATCTCTAACACACTTGCCTTTCATTCATGCAAAGCATGGATTATGCGAGCATGCGCTCCACTGTTATTATACATATATCCGGTAATATTTCATTGTCTAGTGGAAGATTTATAGGGGATATATAGCTTTATGAAAGATGTAATATTAATAGTTCTTATGAGGGCTGAATGTGTATAAAGGCTGCTAAAACGTGCGAGATCGAGACTCGAGTCGGTCGAGTAGATTAGGCCGTGCGGGAACGTCACTTCCGATTAGCCAGATTGCTTCCCATATATCGTGCCGGGCAAGCGTTACAAACGAAAGCCGAACGTAAACTCGGAGAGCAATATATCTCGGCGCGCACGTATCATCCCTTTTCCCATTGTTCAGCCGCATCCGTTCCCTTTTCCGAAAAGGCTCGGCACGAGCAGGGCAAGGCAACGGCAAGGCAAGGCAAGGCAAGGCGCGAGCGAGGGGGCGGCGGATGGGCGCAGTTACTGCTGATCGTTAAAAGGCGCATAAAAAAGGGAGAGGAGAAGGCGCTGGGCGGATGGGGGTGGGTGGCGGGAGGTCAGAGGAAGCGGCGCGAGAAGTAACAATAAAAATTCGTCGGCGTTCGTGTTTCGTCGCCGTGGTAGGAGCGGAGGGACGTAAGGAGGGTGAAGTGAGGAGTACGACGGGGGGGGGGGGTTAAACCGAGGCGGGAGAGAAAGCGGGAGAGAGAAAGAGAGCGCGAGAGAAAGAGGGAAAGGGAGACGGGTGAGGAAGAGAAGGGCGGTTGGGTGGTCGGTGGAGCAGGGTGCGTAATGAAACGATATTGAGTAGCCGTGGTAGGGAGGGTCGCTGCGAGAGGGTGGGGGTCGTCTTCAGCCCTCTCCGTCGATTGACCTCGCTTCGACGAGACGAGGGTGGGAGCGAGTCAGGGGCGGAAGTTGGTAGGGCACTACCAACGGTGGGGACCAAGCGCCGAGAGCTGCTTGAGGGGGTCGTAGGAGGAAGGAGGGGTCCGTTTTAAATTGACGAAAATGACACATCTTCTCTCCGTCCATTTCCCTCTCGCCTCTCGCTTACCCCGTTACCTCGCTTTTTTTCTCTCTATTTTGGCAACCGATGCGACGGCGACGGAGAACCTCGAGGAACTTCAAAGCGACATTAGCACTCGAAGGGGGAGCGGATAGAAATAAATTGCAATACGCAGTAAAACGAATTGGTGTGTGCGTAATCCGGAAAGTCTTACGATGCTATCGATAGAAAAAAAAAACGAATAGAGGTCGCCGTAAAGTTTAATTAAACTTTTAGTGTTGTACGCTTCCGTCACGTAAAATTCTAAGTTAATTATTAAATGATATATGTATTTTTCCGAAATTAAATTGAACGATATATGTTGTGATAGGTCATTATTGCAGTGCTTTTGAACAAAATATTATACAATAATGTAATTTAGTGTTGATA